TGGCGGCAAACTGTACGTTACAATGTGAATGCTTTTTGTGTGCAAAAAAGGGGGAAATTCCGTTCATTTTTTGGTTTAATGCCAGTGTTAACAAACGAACGGTACTAAAAAATGACTGTACAAATATATGCGCAGCATAAACTTTTATTTTTAACAGTTTATATTTCTGAAAAGCCGTTATTTTGAAAACCGTGTGAAAGTGAAATCGTGTAAATAAAGTACCGTGTAAATCGGGGGATAGGTGTACACGCTGATTGGCTGATGATGAACAATTTCGAAAACCAATCAGCGTGTCTAATTATGTCGCCAACGCCCTTCCAGTGCACCCTAAGCACGCTTTTTCTTGGAAGGGTGGGAGATGGTCGCGGTGGAGATGGGCAAAATCGGCAACCGTAAGGATTTCCGTCGGGTGACTCATCGGTTCTCAAAAAAATGCACCCTTCGGAAACTCGCGGTTTGTGGCATGTTCTTAAGCTATTGAGCGCGAGAAAGCATGAATATTTTAAAAGGTAACAGAACAATTTGCATCTTCGAATCTTCTAACGAAGGAGCCTGCCTTCCATCGTCTAATACTGGCCTGCCCAAAGTATACCTTCCACCGCAACAAGTACAAACTGGAACCCTCTCTTTAAGGAAATCTGGCTTCGTCTTGGCTTCGTCAAAGAAACAAAACTAACCGACAAAATGTAGCGAAATCTCGTAGTTGATGCGACGAAAAACAAGAAAAAAAAAATATGAACTTGGACACATGCAAGTAACAAAGGAAAAATTCGAAACTCAAGAATAATTGTATTTTTCTGTCGTGCCGTTAATCATGCCTGTGAAGCCCTAACAAAATTTTCTAAGAGAATCTGGAGGACAAAAAGTGTCCCTTTTAGGATTGATTAGCGAAATTTTGGATCCTGAAGAGTTTCGAGTCTCCAGGATTTCATCTAAATACGCACATCGTTATTTTTCCTTTTTAATTTCGAGGTCTTTGAAGAGTACTTTCTACGTGAACGTAGTGGATTTATCTTCATGATTTTATACCCAGGTAACCCAGGTAAATTACGCGCCCTTGCATCGAAGGATCGAAACAGTTTGCGTTCGTCATTCGTTGAGGACGCGTATCGATCCGGTTCGAACCGGCCAATTTCGCGGCCAGTCGAAACAGTCAGTCATAATTTTCGCGGACGTTTAATCAACCCCTTGTTCACCCAGCCCCACCCCTCATACTCTTCTCTCTCTCTGTGTATGCCCTCGTAATTCATAGCCGAAGCTATTTACTTTTACGTCCGTCCTCTTCTTTCGAACTAGTTCGATCCTCCCACCCCTTTTCTCGATATTTCATGCTCGATAAATCGTCAACACGTTTCGATGCCTCAGCTTCCAATACGAATTTTTACAGATTTTTTCGAATTTCGACACATCTGCGTCGTCCTTTTGTTTTTTCGAACACGTCTACAGTGGATTTTTGGGGGATTTACTAGGGTTCTTTGGATGTTGACAGGCTTGGTGTTGATGGAGAATGAAGATTAGGGGCGAGGAGTAGCGTGGACTGATGGAAACGGTGATTTTTTGGATAAATAAGATTCTACGGGAGCTGGGATGTCTTCTAAAATGATTGTGTACCTTGAAACCCTAACTACTAATGCTTCAGAAGAAGATCCAATTGTTGTTCTCACTATCGATACCTAGAAACCCCGATCACACCCTAATCTGACTTTCCGAATCCTAGTATCTCATCCTCCCAGCAATCTGCTGCTGCTGCAGCTTAGAATATAGCCTGTACTGTCGTAATTATTAGTCTAAAAAATGTTTCAAGTGTTATTTTCACCACAAGGGCTTAAAGACTGTAATCAGACAGGAATTGTTGATCTTTCAGACGGTGTGAAAACTGACGTGTCCCATGAAGTCGACGGACGACGGCGCCAGAGTAGGGGAGCGATTGTCGCCAGTGAGCATCGACACGGGATCGAGCCATAATCGAAGCTCCAGGTGAATCGAAGTCCAGCTACGCTCTCCCAGACGCTCCTCCTGTCGTGCCACCATGTACAAGATCCTTCGTCGCGGTTCCAGCCGCGTGTTCGTCGTCTGCGCGGTTCTGTTGACGCTGTTGCTGTGTCTCTACTATGTGAACCAGGCTCAGGCGCCATCCACTGGGCCATCAGCGGGGATTCTGAACGAGGAGCTCAGGTACGACCGAGGTCTGACCTCGATCACGCCGGACTACGTCGAGTCCCCGGACGCCAAGGTCTCCCTGGATACCTGTCCCATCATTGTGCCCAGGAACGTGGACATCGACACGCAGCAGGAGTTCGAGAAGTTCGACTTCCAGGTCAGTTATCTTCGGAAATCGATGTTTCCACAGATCTAAAGAATTTCCAGGTAAAATGAAGGGAACACACCTTAGAATGTGGATTGTCGGCCTTGTTTCTCGAGGAACAAGTGCTTTTTGGCTATTTATCTCCTTCGCTGCGGCAGAATTTAATGCGTGACGTGGGTGAATGACGGTAAATTTTTAACCACGACCGCAAAATTTGTTATTTCGGCCGTATTTTAAAATTCGGTTTATTAAATAGAGAACAGGATTTAACAGTTTTCTAGGGCTGACAATTTTTTGGATGCTCCAAGTTGGATGAAACTGGGGTGTGATGCTCTCGGAAGCTTACTTTTTAGGAGAGTAAACTTTTTAACGGACTTAGACGCTCTAATTTCGATGAAAAATAGGATTGAACACCTTTTAAGACTAAATTTTTAAGCTCTTGGATCCTGCAGAGGTTGAATAGACGATGCAGGTTCTTCGTAGTCTTTGGACGTCAATGTGGGTGTCCCTTTGGGATCTCAGAATCCCTTTTTACCTCGAAAGGTCGAAGAATTAGAGGCAGAAACGACTTGCACGGTTTAGACAGAGCAATTAGCAGGTGAACCAAGGGGCTTTCAATTAATCCTGTCACCGCTATCGGCGAATATTTATGTTCCCAAGGCTGGAATGATTCAGGGATAGCGCGCAAATCCGGTCGTTTTAAAAGTACCGCGTCATTAGCCGGCGAAACTTTCCTTTCTTCGCTCCCTGGGGAGTCTACGGACTTTGCTGATTTAATAGGCGACCCCCGTAATAAGGAATTTTTTCCCCCATTCCCATCTCCGTCCGGACCATTGAATCGAAAATAATTTAGCAGTTTGTCTCGTGCTTCTAAATTCCCACTCTGTCCTAGAAAGTTCCAAAGTCTTCGCGAGAATTCGCCAACTTCCTACCCTGCCTTCGAATTGGATCAGTATAGCGCGTATCCGCCCCTATGCGATAAATTAATATCCTGAAAAATTGACCGGGGAAAGTGAAAATCCCCGAAATGCACTCTTAGACTTGCATTTTAATGTTTAAATTTTAGATGATTCGTTCGGCAATTTCCAGCGATTTGGGTCATTCTGACCTCCAGTCACGTCAGTTCAGCGTTTCATGTTGAAAAAGAAATGATCATTCCAATAAAGCAGTTTATGGTGGATGTATTATTTAACCAGTCGTGTTACTCGTCGTTTTCACTCTCAGAGTGATCTTCGGTTATATCACTCTGCGTAGCAGCAACGATACTCGGAATTTTTCCTTCTCGAAGGTGATCAGTAGTTCTGAATACGCTTGACATAATCGTGTCGGTCCAGAGGCAAAGAAGTTCCAATCAACCAATAACCATCGACGACACGGTTGAATAAGCCTCCGGAATCATCGATTCTAGCATCAGGTCGAAACGTTCCGCCGAATTAAACTGTTAAGCAGATAATTCCAATTAATCCCTTGCTCAGACCGGAAGTCTTAGTTGAGATACAATTGCCTCCAATTGCGGAAGGCAGTTCGGTGACGAAATAATGTCACTGTTCGAGGTAAACGAACCTGACCAATTCAGTTGCATTATACTTTTAAATTCTGCGTTTATCCAGTGAAAAGTCGGAATAACCTAACTTACGAACGATCCGAGAAACTGGAATATTGGTGTATCATGGAGTACGATCGCGTGTAATATACAGGATTCCCATTGGCCAGGGTAATATTTGGGATAATAGGGAGGCGCGTGTGCCTCCCCTCTCTGAATCGTTCATGAGCGGCTTATTGCGACTTTGAGTGCTTGGAATACCGTTCCCGGGATAATTATCGAGACACGTTTGAAGTTTCGATCCGCCATATCGTCACAGCCCGCCATTTCGAATTCTGAGTGTGTCTGCAAGTGACAAATTCGGTGTCTCTCTGTTTCTGATTGGATGAGATCTGTTTCGCTGCTGCTTGAACGCGGACTGACACGACCGAACGTTATATCCAGTGTATTTCGATTTATTATGAATTTTCGTAGACTTATTGACTTATGGGGAAAAAATGAATTTCTACTTCTGCAACTTTTCAAACGCTCTGTACACTTATTAAACGAACGATGATCATTTGTACGTTGTGTGACTTCAGAAATTTGGCTTTATTCCCGTGTAAATGTTTTTTTTTTTTTTTAAGTAGCTTCAAGACAACATTGTTTGACATGTGATTTTTGAAACATCCGGTATACCAGTGAAATGCAAGTCATTTTCGAATCACCCACTGTGTTCCTGAATTTTTCCTTCTCTGACAGATATGCACATACTGAAGTTTCTCAGCTAGATCGAAGTCCCAGGTGACAACTTTTGAAACAAACTGTACATGGATAATTTCTAATTTTTAAACGACACAGCTTGCAAATCTTTCCCTCTTGTAAACTAGCATGTGTTGAAGATAATCGTCAGAATGAATGTTCATACTGACACAATTTTTGCAACGTCCTGTACACTCGGGAAAACCGATGAAAATTCGGCGGGAGCGCAACTGCGAACCCGTCACCGATGAACATTCGATAAATTGAATTATCGTTCACGGAAAGTTTATGCCGGACGGTGATCAAATCGAGCGGCTTTAATTAATATGTTCGTTCCTCGATAATAATCACCGGGTTGGAAACGATTTCGACGAGCATCGGCGCCAAGTAGAGTGCACTTTACGCGAGATTGAGCGGGCAGCGATCACGATGGTGTTGATCACGAGTCCTCGAAACGTGCAGTTGCGTTAATGACGTGTTCTTCCCCCCCGGCTTCGATAGTTTCGATACTTTGCTCTCTTGAAATCGAAACATACACACGGAAACGCGAATTCTCGAGCGAGGATATCGAAACGAAGGATTCGCGAATAATTGAGAAACGGTAATTTCGGCGAATTCTCGAGAATAGTCACAGACTAATCTAAGCTGGAAGTTTAGTACCAGGGGGAAAATTGTTTGTAACGTTCGAAATAATTGTCACCGTTAGACGGCCGGGGAAAAAACCGTTAAGCAGCATGATCTTATCCAGCACGGCGAAAAGAGCGAGGACAAAGACCGGCTAATGTGCAGCCGCGTGTAATCAACATGATTTCCGTCCGTAGACTGTAGAAAAAAAGCCGTGAGCCGGTCGATTGTTCACGTGTGCAACGGAAAACTCGAAATATTTCGCGATTGTTCGCGGCACGCATGCTATCTGGAAATTTTCATGACAATACCCGCTCGCTGCTGGCCGAGATTCCTCTAGCCTGCAGCCATTCCTCCCGTTCTTCGAAAGGAGCGTTAATTCCCCTCTCGTTGTCTCGTGCACACGCCATTTTTCCGTCCTATGATCGCGTACTCGCAAACAATATCGAGAAACGGCGAGAAACAACGTGATAGCCTGGCTGGAAACGCGGATAAACGAGGTCTGCGAAAAGCTGAGTGGAAAAGGGTCGTGTTTTGTACAGTTCAAGAGGTTAATAACGTGTATCTGACAAGATTTCTCTGGCGAAAGATGAAATCGACGAGGTTGCGTTTGTTCGTTGGTGTATTCGTGGACGAGTAATGGAAATCTCGAGGCTGACACTTCGGAAAGACACTTGGATGGTTTCACGGTGATTTAAGTTGTCTCAAAAATAGGCCATTGCTGCAAGAAATTTTCGTGATTATTGATTTTCTCATCTCGACACGCCCTGTTTATTCTATACAACAATACTCCCGCCAGATACATGACAAGCCTAACCTGACCCTTTTCGATTCGCCCTGTAAAACGGATAAAACACAACGAAGTTGAATTTCAACGATGGACACACCACGCTGTACAATAAAATCGAAATCAAATGTACTGCTATGCCGCGGCAAAGAGAGAAGAATGTTTTCTTGGTGTGCAACAGTAGTTTTACTACTAGAGGACGTTTTCACTATGACGTGCGCGGGTCGAGGTGAAACTAACTATTAACTAAAATGTGCGGGGACGCTGTCCTTTATGCCTTCGTTTTCCCTGGAGTTCGGCCCTATCGGTGAATAAGCCGTTCGAAGGACCCTCCTGGTGCGTCGGATCTTGTGACTAGTTCTACGAGTGTCACTATCCTAACGGTACGTCATTCACGGTCATTCTTCCATCGTGAAATTCAACGAACCAACTTTTGAAGCGTCCTGTAGGGTCTTTATTATCGATTTCGATCGAAGCACAACGGGAATCTTCAGGGACAAAGAAAGGAACGTCATGTTGCCATCGTCTCGGATTCGATCTTCAATCGTCTCCCTCGAAGTTTACTTTTGAATCGTCCTGTAGAATCGTGGAAACGCCGAACCAGACGACAGTATATTTCACGGCCGAAAATTCGTTTTTCTCGCTCGGTCGGCGAGGCATCGAGCGTCGCGTGTCGCCGAGGGTGGCTCGCCGTCCACGAGGTGGGGGAGGGTGGGCGAAGGCGCAGGGCCTCGCAATTTAGGACTCTTCCCCCTCTGCCTCATCCCTCACCCCGCCTACCCTTCTTCATCCCTGCTGTACACCAGCAGACTACATTTCGCAATTTGCTTAAGCAAACCTTTCCAGAAATTCATATCCGTCGCTCGTCTTCTTCGAGGCTCCCTCGACTTCCCCCCCCAATCCCTGTAATACTCAAGCCAGAAATCTCGTCCCCTCTCTCTACCCGTGTCCGACTTATTCGCCCCAGGGCCAATTACTTTTGGATTTTCCAGGCTACCTGCGCGGCGCCGCCGCCTTTTAAATCTTCATGTTTGGATTATCACGGTATTGCTCGCGATCTGATGAAAATTTGTCAAGGTCACGTGACCTTGGTACCGTTTGAGGTTCAGTTAGTTCGAACGGAAGTATAGCGTAGAGTTCGAATTTTCCGCTTCTTTTTTTCTCCCTTTTTGATTTATTCGTCTGTTTTGCAAACGCAGATCCCGTTCATTTTGTTCCCTGTCAAAGGTAACCACACTAGTTAGTATGATCCTTTGTCTCCCAAAGGACCGCGCTCCACTTCTCTTAGGCTACCCCATAACGAACAGTCGACCCAGA